AAGCAAACATGGTAAGTCAATAACATTATTTTACATTAGTAAAGTGATTTTATATCAAGAAATGTCAGATGAAGAATAAAATCAAAATAATACTCTATTGAAAAAAAAGTCACAGTACTTAATCATTTTTTTCCTAAAAAAAAAAAAATTTAAATGGCAAGAAAAACGTCTTGAAGGGAAAGACAAACTACTCTCTTATTACAAAAAATGTACACTTTAAAAACGGAGAAATTGAATCGAAACAAAGTCCAATGCTTTGATATATTGACAACTAAAAAATGCTTTTAATTTCATTTTGGTTTTTATTGTATTCTTTGTATGGTTCCCTCTATAAGTCTATATATATTTACATATACACATAATTCGTCCCTCGATCATAAAACTTTATCATCTTGATGAGCAAGGAACTCTTTTGCTTCCCGATCAATCTTTCTAGATCTGTATCTTCTCCACAAAAAAAAAAAAAAAAAAAAAAAAGACAAAAAAAAATATATCAACATTTTTTCTTATGAACCACTTTTGTTGTTTAAAAACCATAAAATACAAAAAAAATAAAAACAAAACAAAACCCAAAAAGAAGAAAAAATAAAAGAAACTAAGATGATGAAAACCTCACCAATGTAAATCACGTATCAACCTCAACTATGGAAGATCACATGATGATTAGAAGTCTATTGCTTCCCGGTCAATCTTTCTAGATCCGTATAGTATCTTCTCCACAAAAATAGACCAAAAAAAAAGAATATATCAACATTTTTTCTTACGAACCACTTTTGTTGTTTAAAAATAAAAAAATACAAAAAAAAAATAATAAAAACAAAACAAAACCCAAAAAGAAGAAAAAATAAAAGAAACTAAGATAATGAAAACCTCACCAGTGCAAATCACGTATCAACCTCAACTGTGGAAGATCACAGGATGATTAGAAGTCTATTGCTTCCCGATCAATCTTTCTAGATCCGTATCTTCTCTACAAAAATAGACAAAAAAAAAAAAGAATATATCAACATTTTTTCTTACGAACCACTTTTGTTGTTTAAAAATCAGAAAATACAAAAGAATAAAAACAAAATAAAACCCAAAAAGAAGAAAAAATTAAAGAAACTAAGATAATTTAAACTTCACCAGTGCAAATCACATATCAACCTCAACTGTGGAAGATCACAGGATGATTAGCAAAAATCAATAAAATAATTAACCTTAGTTGGGGTTGTGTATGGTCATATAAGGTGTATTTATACATAATGGATGAGATCAAAAGGGTCTAGTATTGAAATTATAAAATGGTAAGAGATCTCAAGAAAGGTAAAATCTTTAATATTATTAAAATGCCATATTTGTCTAAATATTTGATATTACAAAAATGCCTCTAAGTTTTGGGGGGAAAACTTGGCTAGGAGGATTTTACTTTTATATATATATAGATTGTGAAATATAATTTGAACTATAACTTGTAATTATTTGCATTTATCATTTTTTGGCATAAATTTTCGCGCATCGCGTGTACAAAATGCTAATATTATATATAAATATTATAATAAATTAATAATTTCAACTCTTCAAGTTCTCAGACCTTAACTCTAATTCGCAAGTCGCAACATTTGATGTTTTAATAATTCTTATTTTTCAAATATTAACTATGTAGATAGATGATTCTTCATCTTGTCATCAACAAAACACTTCAAGTGGCATTCCAAGTGAGCCAACTGAACAAGCGGCAGGCAAAAAAAAGAACGTTCAAATAGTGGATTTCCACCAAAACTGAATCGAATTGAAACCGAACATTTTCAAACCAAACCGAACTCTATAGTTAAATCGAATGGTTTAATTTTTTTAAAACCGAAAAACGAAAACTCAAATTGAAACCAATCATTCTATTCTTTCTTACCAAATAATGTAATCTAAATTCCACTTTATTCATTTTTTACGGAATTATAATTCATTTCATCTTTAATTCCATCTTCAACCAAACGCCGGGTAATATAATTTGTCGTGAAGCGAGTTTTGCTAAGAAATTGTGAAGGGTAATTAGTGCGTGTGGAAACAGATGGCGCTATTTCACTTGCCCCAAAAAGTTAAATCATCAACCCTAAAGGTCCCACACTCCGATCTGACAGAGCATGTGAGAGTATGTAAATCACGGTGACTTAATAATTCAGTAAACAGAGTTAAATACCGGTGCACACAAGAAATCTGATGTCGCTATTTCATTGTATTTATTCCTCAACGACTATGAAATCTAAGCTACATAGAGTAACGGCCTCACTATGTTCAATTCTTGTCGTGCAAGTTTCTGAGCTCATTATTATTTACTTATTTTTGATGAGAGTGAATTCCATTTTTGGTCCTACTGTTATAGGGGCGTTTTCAATTTCAGTCTACTTTAATTGTTTTTGTCACTTTACAACCACTGTTATTGAATGTGTTCCACTTTTAGTCTACCGCTAATATTTCCGTCAAGAGACCGTATAATCAAAGTGTATTTTGGTCTTTTTTATGTTTGTCTCTTCTCTTTTAATTCAGGCGCTTTGTCCCCCTCCTCCGATATTCGAAGATGGCTCTTCGAACAACGAGAATGGGAATCCAAGGCTACATCGTCTCATTCGTTCCAACATGGGCCGGCGAGGTTTCTTAGGTTTTAGGTTTAATGTTCTCATTTCTTTAGTCAAACATAGTCTTGGATGAGAAGAAAGATCAAAATACCCCTAGATTACACGGCCTCTTGATGGAAATACTAACGGTAAGACTAAAAGTGAAACACATTCAATAATAGTGGTTATAAAGTGGCAAAAAAAATTAAAGTAGACTAAAATTGGAAACGCCCCTATAACCGTATGACCAAAAATGGAATTCACTCTTTTGATGACATACAAAAATTTGTATCTACTATAAAAGAATGTTCACTCATAAATTTTATTCATGTGTACTAAAATGTAAACATTTATGAAAAATAAATAGTATTAAAAAATCAAGTGTGATGCGCAGTAAATATGGTAAAATGTGAGCATGGAGTATTAAAAAAAGTTCAGTTTGCATTCAAAAAAAAAAAAAAAAAAAAAAAAAAGTTCAGTTTACTTTTCAAATTCAAACTTACCACCGAAGGCCTATAAGCATGCATCATCTTTGGAATTGTAGACTCGTCGTCAACCTGTCCTGAGCTGAGGGCCTGAGCCCATTCTTTAATACCACTTTTCTTGCTCTTCCTCGACGTTGTTTCTGCAATCCGTACGGGGGGTTTCCTTTTCTAAGTCACTGCCGTTTTGCTTTCATTATATTACAGAGCTAAAGTTGCTTGAAGTGTGAGTACAATCTTTTGCCATTTTGTAATGCACTATCGTTTCCTTATACTTGGGGCCTTGGGGGTTTTCCAAAGAAGAGGGATTGGAAACCGAAAAGAACTGAGCTTTATGTGTATGGTGTGTCTGGGTAAGATTTGAATATTTGATTTGATCATCCAGGAACGATGAAAATTGCAAAGAAGAAACAACGTCCAGTGCACGGGTTGATCGATGCAGTGTTTTCTTGGTCTTTAGAAGACGTTATGAACAAGAATTTGTACACAAACAAGGTTTGATTCTTGATTTGTCTTCTTTAAACTCATGCATACCTCTCAGTCTAAAACGGTAGCGTTTACTGCTTTATTTGTACTTTTTTTGAAAAGCTTTATTTGTACTTTATGATCTGTTTTATGTCATTTTCTTGAGTGTTTATAGAGCTTGTCAGATTGCATTCATTCACATGACTAAATACTTTATATAAAATTGTGGGTTTTTTTTTTTCTATTTAGTTTCTTGATGTCACGTTTGATTTAAATTCTGTGTTTGATTCTCATTTATAAATTCTTGATCTTCCTCATGCTGGTAAGGTACTTTAAATTTGCTTTGATATCATAATGTTCATTTGCAGCTGTAAGTAATGATATGAACTAATGAACCCCCTTTTAGGTTAAAGAAATCCCAGATACCTTCATGTCCACGGATCATTACCTCGACTCATTCATCAATCCACTTCTTGAAGAAACACATGCTGATTTGTACTCAAACATGATGAATTCACTCCAAAATGCCCCATCTCGTGAGGTCTTAGACGTGAAAATGTCAATGGATTTCAATCCTCCTAAAGATTTGTTATACAATATTCTCTTGAAGAAAACTAGAGAGGGTGATGATGGTGAGAGTAAAAAAGCTATGAACCCGAGCCTTGGGATCTAATTGCATTCTCCGATGTGAAGCCTAAGAGTGTTGAGGATTTGAACAGACCGAAGATGTCCTATGTCATAGCTGTAGTCCAGGGCAGGAAAGGTGATGGTTCAGCAAGGTTTCCAATCTTGTCATCAAGGCGTGTTACCTTCAAGAAAAAAATGAAGGGAGGCAGAGAGGGGGATAATCTTTTTGTTGTTTATCTTACTAATTTGACAACAAATATTCGCATATGGAAATCTTTGAATATGGGCAATCAATATGCTAACTTAAAGATTATCAAAACAGTGTTGCAAATTGATCCCAAAGTAAGATATACTTCCTTTCTATTGTTTTATTTTTTGCTTAGTTTCTCTTTGAAGTGTAAATGAAAGTTCAAACATGTCCTGCAGGATGAAGGAGATTGTGGCCTCTGCATCTATAGAGGAACTCAAGCTACTACTTTATTGAACGCCAAGGCAGCCATACAAATACAATCCTTTGGATTACAAATACAAGGGAAATAAGCAGCATTTGAAGAAGTTGATAGTTCAGACCATAAAGGAAAACAAGAGGAAAAAGATGAAAGATGAATCTTCTCAAAAGAAAAATTTGTTAGGATATAATGACAAAGTGGCCAAATGTCAAAGAGGAAAGGATCGCATTGGGGAGGTAACAATTTGGACATTTGAGGAGTTTGTTTTGAAGAAGTATAAATCTTTAGCGGAGCAATTAGACTTTTGTATGACAACGTTGTACGCTCATTTGCCTACTTCCTACATCCCCCGAGATGTAGCGAAGAAGATGGTTAGAGCACTTAATTTGCTTTAAACTCTAGGGGGACTGTTGAAAACTGTTGCTGAGATACCTGGAGGACTGAGAGATGGCCTTAAGGAGATTGAAGTTTCTTTGTCTAAGTGGAAGAAGAAGCACATTCATGAATTGCAGATAACAAAGTCAGTATGTGTTGTAGTATTAAAACTTCTTCGTGGCAGCATTACACTCCCAAATTTTGCTGAGAAGTATCAAATTCGGAGCTTTTGTTTGAAAAGTGCAGTCTTGCTTTTCTCTACTGTCTCGAGTTCATCCAAACTGCACTCTCAAGGGATGACACCAATAGAGGTGTTGGTAATTGATGAAGCTGCTCAGCTTAAAGAATGCGAATCCACTATTCCTTTGCAGCTACCCGGTCTTTGCAACGCTATACTAATTGGAGACGAGAAACAATTGCCAGCAATGGTTCAGAGCAAGGTTTTGAAAATAGTCTTGCCACTTAGATTTTTTTTTTTTTTTTTTTTTTTTTTTTTTTTTTAAGTAAGCAGCTAATTAATGTATGTTATGTTTTCCACAGATTTGCGAGAAGGCTGATTTTGGGAGGAGCTTGTTTGAGAGGCTGGTTAAATTAGGACACAGAAAGCACCTCCTCAACATTCAATACAGAATGCATCCCTCAATTAGTTTGTTCCCAAATAAGAAGTTCTATGATGAGAAGGTCATGAATGGTCCAAATGTGATGAAAATAGGATACGAGAAGCGATTCCTCAGAGGAAACATGTATGGATCTTTTTCTTTCATCAACGTAAGCCAAGGAAAGGAGGAGCGTAATGGCAAAAGGAGTAGTAAAAACATTGCAGAAGTTTTTGCAGTAGCTGAGATTGTTGCTATGCTGTATAGAGGTAATTCCTCATCTCATCTATTTCTTAGTTTTATCTTACTGATTTTCTTTCGTTCAATGATGATGGTAGAATCTCTAGCTTCAAAACAACGACTTCGCGTTGGCTGCATTTCACCATATAAGGCTCAGGTTTTTGCAATTCAAGAAAAGCTTGGCAAGAAATACAGCACAGATGAGGACAGCAAGTTCTCTGTGAATGTTCAGTCTGTGGATGGGTTTCAAGGCGGAGAAGCAGACGTGATCATCATATCTACAGTGCGGTCTAATGCAAGGGGAACCGTGGGCTTCTTGTCCAACTTTCAGCGAACAAATGTGGCTCACTCGAGCTAGGTAGGTAACAGTCCTACCATGTTGTAGATTCATCTGACTGACAGAACTGTTAATGAAACATCATTATTTTTGTGTGTTCAATGTTGTGTTCCCCAGATACTGCCTTTGGGTATTAGGCAACAGTGAGACCTTGATCGGTAGTGGTTCAGTTTGGAGGGACTTAGTAATGAATTCTAAGGCGCGCGGTTGCTACTACGATGCCTGCAGTGACAAGAACCTGGAACAAGCAATTGCAGATTCATCTGATGACTTAACAACTAATCTTTCTGCATTGAGCCTTAGGGATGAATCTGGATTTTCTTCCGAATCCTTTTTGGTCAGCAGCTTTAATTTATATATAAACTTCACTTTTTAGTTTACATTGTTGTTGAAACATGTTATTCAGAAACTTGCATGTTACTGTCATGTTTATCAGAAATGGGAGGACCTTCTCACTTAGAGCTTGGGTTTCACTTAAACGAGGATGTAACCAGCAGAATCGACAAGTTCAAATTGAAGAGAATGAAGACAGGCCGGTCTTATGGTTACATCCTCGTTTATGTGAAACCCAAGCTCTGATTCAGAAGGTCCTCCCATTTCTGATAAACATGAGAGTAACATGCAAGTTTCTGAATAACATGTTTCAACAACAATGTAAACTAAAAAGTGAAGTTTATATATAAATTAAAGCTGCTGACCAAAAAGGATTCGGAAGAAAATCCAGATTCATCCCTAAGGCTCAATGCAGAAAGATTAGTTGTTAAGTCATCAGATGAATCTGCAATTGCTTGTTCCAGGTTCTTGTCACTGCAGGCATCGTAGTAGCAACCGCGCGCCTTAGAATTCATTACTAAGTCCCTCCAAACTGAACCACTACCGATCAAGGTCTCACTGTTGCCTAATACCCAAAGGCAGTATCTGGGAAACACAACATTGAACACACAAAAATAATGATGTTTCATTAACAGTTTTTTCACATAAATTAAAGACAGTTAGTTAGTTACCTAGCTCGAGTGAGAGCCACATTTGTTCGCTGAAAGTTGGACAAGAAGCCTACCAATCCCCTTCCATTACATCGCACTGTAGATATGATGATCACGTCCTCTTCCCCGTCTTGAAAGCCATCAACAGATCGTACATTCACAGAGAAGTCACTGTCCATATCTGTGCTGTATTTCTTGCCAAGCTTTTCTTGGATTGCAAAGACCTGAGCTTTGTATGGTGATATGCAACCAACACAAAGTCTTTGTTTCGAAGATAGGGATTCTACCGTCGTTGAACAAAAGAAAATTATTAACACGAAACTAAAGACGAAAATGAGTATGCATGTGACAAAAAAATAAAATAGAAATTAAATTACCTTTATAGAGCATAGCAACAATCTCAGCTACCACAGAAGCTTCTGCCATGTTTTTACTACTATGTTTGCAATCAAGCTCTTCTTTTCCTTTTCTTATGTTGATGAAAGAAAACGGACCAAACATGTTTCCTTCAAGAAATCGCTTCTCATACCCTAAATTTGTGACATTAGGACCATTCATGACCTTCCCTTTATAGAACCGTCTATTTGGGAACAAACTAATAGAGGGATGCATTCTGTATTGGATGTTGAGGAGGTGCTTTTTGTGTCCTAATTTAACCAGCCTCTCAAACAAGCTCCTCCCGAAATCAGCCTTCTCGCAAATCTGTGGATAACATAACATGCATACATTAGTTGCTAATAACTATAAAATACTAAAATAAATAGTTGCAAGCAAGCTAGCTAAGACAACTTTCAAAACGAACCTTGCTCTGAACCATTGCTGGCAATTGTTTCTCATCTCCAATTAGTATAGCATGTCGAAGACCGGGTAGCTGCAAGGGAATAGTGGATTCACATTCTTTAAGCTGAGCAGCTTCGTCAATTACCAACACCTCTATTGGTGTTATCCTTCCAGCGTGCAATTTGAATGAACTCGAGGCAGTAGAAAAAATCAAGATTGTTTTATTCAAGCAAAAGCTTCGAATTTTAGAATGTTTTGGGAGAGTAAAGCTGCCACGAAGAAGTTTCAAGATCACAACACATTCTGATTTTGTTGCCTGCCATGAATCAAAGTGAATATTCCTCCTAGTCCCCTTAAGGCCATCCCTTAGTCCTCCATTTGCCTCACCGACAGTTTTCAACAATGCTCCTAGAGTCTGGAGCATGTTACATGCTCTAACCATCTTTTCCACTATTCCCAAAGGGAGGTGTGAAGTAGGCAAATGTGTGTACAAGGTTGTCACAAAACTCTAATCGCTCCGCTAATGGTTCATACTTGTTCAAAACAAATTCCTCAAATGTCAAAACCGGTGCCTCCTCATTAGTACAATCCTTTCCTTTGGGACACTGAACAACATTACACTTGATCACTTTGTCATTAGATCCTAATAGATTTTTCTTTTGAGAAGACTCATCTTTCATCTTTTTGTTCTTTTTCTCCTTTAAGTTCTGAACAATCAACTTGTTCAAATGCTTATCCTTCTCCTCAGCACCACTAAGTTCTCTCCTTGAGCTTCCCATTTCTTGTATCTTCTTCAACTCTTCATTCTTCCATTTCATTTCATCCAAGTATTTCTGATATTCCTTTTTTGGTTCCTCAAGCAAATTTATCATCCAATTCAAACCTACCTGCCATCCATCAAATGGAGACAAACATCTAGCAAGCGCATTAACACGGTTATCCAAAAACACTTCCCGTAAATCCTCATGATCATCAATCTTCATTCTTTCTCCATTACCAAAAACAACAATGTCTCCGATACCATAACTATCATAACGGAGACTACCCCTTACCAGATCCATAAGCCGCTTCGCAACTCCTACAACTGCAATGTTGGTTGGAGCACAAGTTAAAGTTCTGCATTTTATATTGAAGAGGTGAGATAACAAAGAGGCAACTGTGTTTGTTTTCCCAGTTCCAGGAGGACCCCAAATCAGCTTAACAGAATTCCGGTGAACACATCGTCTTGCTTTTACACAGCTCATAACAGCTTCTTCCTGGGAATTGTCTAACCCAAAAGAGTGAATGGACTTCAATACAGTATCTTCTATTCCTTCTTGGGAACAAAGGGCACAATTTCCTTCATCCTGGATATGATTAAACTTTCATTTAGAATTATATTAAACCAGAAAAAAACAACAACAAGGATTCTGCTAGCTGCAAAATGCAGAGAAGACGCAAACCTTGTCTCTGTACAAGTTTCTGTTTATCACGTCTTCTAAAGACCAAGAAAACACTACATCCAGCAAGCCCTGGTCTTGACGTTTCTTCTTTGCACTCTCCATCATTCCTGGAATCTAAGATCAAATCAAATGTTCAAATTCCTGGGATGAAAGAACGAGCTTGATGGGGTCAATGAAGGTGATGGTGGGGTTCAGTGACGAAATAAGCAAGAATGGATAAAACGAGCTTAGAGTTGAGTGAGGAAAGTGGAAGCTTATGTAGTTATGGGAAAAGAGGATGAAATAATGAAGTAACTACTTTATGGTTGGGTTTCTTAACCGTCGACCCGACGTTTTGTTTCCCGCGCCCAAACTATCCTTTACAATTTCTTACCAAATCTCTATGTACCCAGTACCCGGTATGAATGTGATTACCTGAATTACATTCAATTTTAAATTTTCTTAAATTATGTTCTTCTTATATCTATGAATAAGAGTCAAATACATCGCTACACAGAATTTAAGATGTAATTAGACTATTATGTAGTTGAATAACTAAAGCTTTTAAAATTATACAATCCATTACATATAATCTGAGTAGCATGCATGTTATTATTTGATATGTAGGTGAAAATTTTTAAAAGAAAGCACTAATAATAATTTTCTTTTTTTTTTTTTTTAAACAAGGTCTCCGAATAGTCATAAATGTCAAAAAAAAAATAATAAATAAAAATTTGGACAATCATAAATGTCTTCATTCAACAAAAACTTATTGGTTTTATTTTTATTTTTAAAATTTTAAAATTGTGTGCTCAAACTAGTACAATTTTAGACCAAATTAGTGATGCCAAAAGAAAATTACACAGATACCTAATTAACGATAACTTTTACTAAATAAGTAAGATTATAACTTAAGTGTACTTTTTGCTGAATAATAGAGTTTTTATGAAAATTTACAATTAGAAAACTTACACCATTTGAAAAAAATTATTTGACCATTTTTCTTAAAATATTACTATGTATGTTAATTTGAGGAATAATTGTTTATTGAATACAAAATTTTTATTACTGAATTTAAAAACTTAAATTGGTTAATATAATGCATCATTTCAACATAGTAAATATCTTTATAGCATTTTTTGTCCATTAAACAAAATCCAACTCGAATATGTATCCTTTTGAATTAGACTCATTCAAATAATCGTTTCATTAATTTTGGCACCAATTTTTAATGACAAATAAATTTAACCATCCATTATTAATTCTATTTTGTTTTCATAAAATTAGAAAACTAAAGAGCATATATAACCTTATCAACCGAAGAATGGTTAAAAACTTAAAATCGACCTAATCAGGCATTTTCCTTCTCCTTAATCAGCTCAGTTTCAAAGTTTGATATTTTCTCCTAAATATTACCTTGAACCAGTAAACTCTCGTACAGGCAAGCATTTTCCTATTTGACAGGGAGTATATACCATATAAACACTTAGCATTGCACTATAGTAATAAAATATTTTAAATATTAACCGGCATCTTAACAAATACATAATATTGTCTGTCATGCCTTTTAACATTCAAGTGCACAAAAATTAGTTTTCATACTAAAATTCATTAAAACAAAAACAAAAGGTGGTCATCATAAGACAGGCCTGTCTTCATTCTCTTCAATTTGAACTTGTTCTGCTGGTTTAAGTGAAACCCAAGCTCTGATTCAGAAGGTCCTCCCATTCCTGATAAACATGACAGTAACAATCAAGTTTCTGAATAAGATGTTTCAACAACAATGTAAACTAAAAAGTGAAGTTTATATATAAATTAAAGCTGCTCACCAAAAAGGATTCGGAAGAAAATCCAGGTTCATCCCTAAGGCTAAATGCAGAAATCTTAGTTGTTAAGTCATCAGATGAGTCTGCAATTGCTTGTTCCAGGTTCTTGTCACGGCAGGCATCGTAGTAGCAACCACGGGCCTTGGAATCCATTACTAAGTCCCTCCAAACCGAACTGCTACTGATCAAGGTGTCACTGTTGCCTAATACCCAAAGGCAGTATCTGGGAAACACAACCATTGAACACACAAAAACAATGATGTTTCATTAACAGTTCTGTCAGATGAATCAACAACGTAACATTGTAAGACAGTTAGTTACCTAGCTCGAGTGAGAGCCACATTTGTTCGCTGAAAGTTGGACAAGAAGCCCACGGTTCCCCTTTCATTAGACCGCACTGTAGATATGATGATCACGTCTGCTTCTCCGCCTTGAAACCCATCCACAGACTGAACATTCACAGAGAACTCACTCTCCTCATCTGTGCTGTATTTCTTGCCAAGCTTTTCTTGAATTGCGAAAACCTGAGCCTTATATGGTGAAATGCAGCCAACACGAAGTCTTTGTTTTGAAGCTAGAGACTCTACACCATCATTGAACAAAAGAAAATTAGTAAGAAATAGAATTAGCACGTCGTAATAGATCTGAAGAGGAATTACCTCTATACAGCATAGCAACAATCTCAGCTACTGCGAAAACTTCTGCAACGTTTTTACTACTGCTTTTGCCATTACGCTCCTCCTTTCCTTGGCTTACATTAAAGAATGAAAAAGGTCCATACATGTTTCCTCTAAGGAATCGCTTCTCATATCCTATTTTCATCACATTAGGACCATTCATGACCTTCTCATTATAGAACTTCTTATTCGGGAACAAACTAATTGAGGGGTGCATTCTGTATTGAATGTTGAGGAGGTGCTTTCTGTGTCCTAATTTAACCAGCCTCTCAAACAAGCTCCTCCCAAAATCAGCCTTCTCACACATCTGTGGAAAACATAACATACATTATTAGTTCCTAACTATAAAATACTAAAATAAATAGTTGAAAGCCAAGACAAGTTTCAAAACCTTGCTCTGAACCATTGCTGGCAATTGTTTCTCATCTCCAATGAGTATAGCATGGCGAAGCCCGGGTGGCTGCAAAGGAATAGTGGATTCACATTCTTTAAGCTGAGCAGCTTCATCAACAACCAACACCTCTACTCGCTTAAACACTTTAAGGTGATCAGGCAATTTCTCTGTTGGAATCATAAATTCAGTGTGCAAAGTGAATGAAGCCGAGGCAGTAGAGAAAATCAAGACAGCTTCTTTCAAACAAAACCGTCGAATTTCAAACTTCTCAGAAAAGTCTGGGAGAACAATCTCGTCACAAAGAAGTGTCAGTATTGCAACACACTCTGATTTTGTTGTTTCCAATCCCCACCTAGAAAAAACAAAATTCATTCCCCTCAAGTCCATAGATCCGTCTTCCAGGTTTCTCAGCAACAGTTTTCAACGATTCTCGTAGAGTTTGAAGCACAGCAAGTGCTCCAACCACCATCTTTACTACTTTTAAAGGGAGGTATGAAGTAGGCAAATGAGTGTACAAGGTTGTCAAACAAAACTCTAACCGCTCCGCCAAGGATTCATACTCGTTCAAAATGAATTCCTCAAATGTCCAAACTGTAACATCTCCATTGCAATCATCTTCACTACTACTACTACTACTAGTATTTTCTTCTATTTCTTTCAAGTACTTGTTATATTCCTCTTCAGGTACCTCAAGCAAATGTATCATCCAATTTAACTCCACTTTCCAACCATCAACTGGTGACAAACACTGAGCAAGAGCATCAACACGATGATCCAGAAACACATCCAGTAGATCCTCATTATCTTTGACCTTCATTCTTTCCCCATTGCCACACAAAACAATGTCTCCTAGACCATAAGTATCGTACTGGAGAGAATCACTATGCCTTATCAGTTCCATAAGCCGCTTCGTAACTCCTACAACTGCAATGTTTGTTGGAGCACAAGTTAAAGTTCTGCATTTCATATCGAAGAGGACAGATAACAAGGAGGCAACTGTCTTTGTTTTCCCAGTTCCAGGAGGACCCCAAATCAGCTTAACAGAATTTTTGTGAACACATTGTGCCGCTTTTACACAGCTCAAAACGGCCTTTTCCTGGGAATCATCCAATCCAAGGGAGTGAATAGCATTCAATAACACAGTTTCTTCAGTTTCTCTTGATTCTACACGGCTCAGAACAGCGTTTTCCTGGGAATCATCCAATCCAAGGGAATGAATAGCATTCAATAACACAGTTTCTTCAGTTTCTCTCTGAGTGCAATGGTCACAATTTCCTTCTCCATCCTGGAAATGTATGAACTTTTAATTTAGTTGGTATTCAAAGAGATATTAATCGATAAACAAACAAATAAAACATAAAATGATAAGAAAAGGAAGATGGAAACAACTTACATTTGGATCACTTTGCAACACTGTTTTTATCAACTTTAAGTTTGGAGTTTCTGGGTACACATTCAGACAATTCCATATGCGAACATTCGTTGTCAAACTAGTAAGATGAACAACAAAAAGCTTAGCTCCCACTTCCATTCTCCGGAAGGTAATGGGCTTTGAAGACAGGATGGAAACCCAATCTGAACCTTCATCTTCCTTGCCCAGCACTTCAGCAATGAGATAAGGTGTCTTTGGTCTGTTCAGATCCTCACTGCGCTTAGGCCTCACATCAGAAAACGCAATCAGATTTCCAGCCTCTGGTTTATATGGTGTTCTTGCCTCACCATCATCACCCTCTCTACCTGTCTTCAAGCGAACTTCGTAGAACAGATCTTTAGGAAGCTTGAAATCCTTAGAGGTTTTAACATCCAAGACCTCACAAGCAGGGGCATTACGGAGCGAGTTTATGTTTGAACACAAATCCGCACGTGTTTCTTCAAGAAGTGGATAGATGAACGACTTTAGGTAATGATTTGTGGACAAGAAAGTCTCTGGGATTTCCTTAACCTAAAACATATATCACAAACCAGCAGCACAGTACAGAGCGAGTGAATCACAAAGTTTGAATCAAAACGTGCAATCTGACAAGCGCTTCACATGATCAAAGTACAAATAAAGCAGCAAGCTTGCCATTTTAGAGGTATGCAGAAGTTTAAAGAAGGGATAGCAAGACAAACCTTGTTTCTGTACAAATTTTGGTTCATCACATCTCTCAAAGACCAAGAAAACACTGCATCAGTTAAGCGCAGCCCATGACGCATCCCCTCTCTAGTTTCCATGGTTCCTGGATGGAAGGAAGATTATCAGATCAAATCAGCGCCTGAGAGTGTCTCTGATCTGTACGTAGTAAAAGCAAGCAATTCTAAAGATGATGCATGCGATTATGCATGGAAACGTGAAGAAGAATGAGAGTGAATGAGGAATTAATGTGGAAGCTTATATAGTTGTGGCCGGGGAAATTAAAGAAGAAATAATCATGTAAATGACGTTTCGTTTTCCGGGCACGCCTTCACAGTTTTTTAGCGTTCATAAATGCATGCACAGAGCTGTCGTCCTCAAAAATAGGAAAAGGGGGTCCTTTAACCCACACTGTGGCTGCTGAGCATTTGTAACGTTAGATTGTTCTCATCTCTCAAATATTAATCAGTAAATAAGTCTGTGCAAGCCACATTCTTGATTTATCATATTGTCAGATGAGAACTGTTCTCTGGAAAATGAATGTGTAAACACAGGTATCATCATATGATCAGGAAATGTGACTAATACTTGCATGGGCAACTCAATTGGTATTATGTGTGAAATTTGTCCCAAGAGACTAACGATTAAATTTAGCCTCTATTAATCAGTTAAGTCATTATGATTAACCCATCCATAAACTGTTGGGTTGGGATGTGAGGGCGTCTAAACTTAGTGACTCAACCTTGTGTCACAAGGAAATGTGACTGATAACCAGAAAAGTTAGTCAACTAATTATTTCAATAATCACAAAATTTTAGATTTAAATTTTTATAGAGTTGTCTATTAAATTCATCTCATTATGGTCATTTGCAAGTTAACCACCAGAGTTCAACCGGCAAATTATTATGTGGGCCCGCCAAAAAATTCACAATTTATATAGTGTATGTTCACAATTTACATATTCAATATTCACAATTTTATATACTAAATGTTCACAATTTACATACTGAATGTTCGCAATTTGAATTGTGAATATTTAATATATAAATTGTGAACATTCATATATAAATTATGTATTTTGATCCAGGTCCTCAGCATAACTATTGATATGTGTTATACATTAGGCTTTGTATTTATTCATTTATTAATTGTGTTTTATTTATTTATTTAGATGAATAAAAGAATACTAATGATTATCTTCCCCACACAGATATATAGAAGTCGGTTTTGGTGCGGGGAGCGCCTCAGGTGTGGGTGTGGAGTTTAATCAGAGCCATTGATCTTGTTTAAATCAAGGTCCAGGATTACCAAAAAAATTTTAAAAAAAAAAATGCGGTGGTAATTTGGTAATTTTTACATCTAAGTCAAATTTAAGTTGTGTAAGTTTTGTGCTTAAGGTGCGTGAGATTTATGCTTAAGGTGCGTGGGTTTTGTGCTTAATGTGTGTGAGTTTGTGCTTAAGGTGCTTGAGTTTTGTATTTAATGTGAGTAGTTTTTAAAACTTAAAGTGTGTGGATTTTTTGCTTAAGGTGCGTGAGATTTGTGGTTAAGGTGCGTGAGTTTTGTGCTTTAATGTGCGTGAGTTTGTGTTTTAATGTGCGTGAGTTTGTGTTTAAGGTGCGTGGGTTTTGTGCTTAATGTGTGTAGTTGGTAAAACTTAAAGGCAAATTATGTTGTGGAACCGTGTCCACCTTGCAAGGTGGACACAGTTTCAAAATTGTTCATAATTATGAATATATAGTTCAAAAATTACGAACATATAGTTCTATAATTAAGAACATAGAGTTGTGAACATAATTACGAACACATAGTTCTGTAATTATGAATATAGAAATTCAATAGTTGTGATTATTAGTTCAAAAATTATGAATATATAGTTAAGTAATTATGAACATATAGTTCAGTAATATGAACATAGAGTTCTGTAATTGTGAATATAGAGTTCAATAATTATGAATATAAAGCTTTATAGTTATGAACATATAATTCAGTAATTATGAACATAGAATCGTGTCCACCTTGCAAGGTGGACATGGTTCCACAGCATAACAATTGAACTTAAAGTGCGTGGGTTTTGTGCTTGAGGTGCGTGAGATTTGTGCTTAAGGTGCGTGGGTCTTGTGTTTAATGTTCGTGAGTTTGTGCTTAATGTGAGCTATTTTAAAATCTTAGGTGCGTGAGTTTTGTGCTTAATGTGTTTTGTTCTGTGCTTAAAGGTGCGTGATTTATGTACTTAAGGGGAGTGATTTGTGTTCTTAAGGTGCTTTGTTTGTGTGCTTAAAGTGCGTGGTGATTTGTGTACTTAAGGTGCGCCATTTTAATGCTTAAGGTGCGTCCAACTGCACGAGAAACCCACTCACGCACCTGAACCCTTCCCCCCCCCCCCCCCCACACACACACATATATATATATATATATATATATATATATATATATATATGTATACATATATATATATGTATACATATATATATGTATACATATATATATATATATATATATATATATATATATTAACTACAATAAAGCTATATGGTTTGTGAAGTAATTAATGTTACAATTATTATGTTATTATAAATATAAATAAAAAATAGAAAAAATAAAAATATTTTAAATTGTTTAATATAATAATATTTTTGAGCTTCCATTGGTCAAGTATTTATTATTTTTATAGAACACAAAATTACAATTAAAATTAAAATTAAAATTTTGTATGGTTAATATAATCTCTAATTATGTACATATTCAAATAAACTTATAAGAGAATTTACATAATTACATTGATTTATTCTTAATTGTATTTCATCTATATTATAATTTTCACAATACAAATAATAATTAAGATAATTACATTTAGAAAGCAAATTTCAAATTTTGTAGGAGTAAATTTAAACTCTAATTGAACACATTTTTTTATATGATTATATAATATATTCTTTATGCACATGTCATTCCATAAACCCACATGTCATTCTATAAGCCCAAGACCACTTTTTGTGGAGATAATTCAAATGGATTTTTTTCTTTTCTTTTAAAAGTCCTAAGTTTAGAAATCCAGGAAAACTTTAAAGACTCATACGATATATACATTTATATATTTAAATTTTTATTTATGGCTCAAATGATTTTTTTTTTTTTTTAATTCTGAAGTTCAATAATTGACCCACGGCCCGCATCATTTGTTTTCTTCATCCCTTCTCGCTTCTGCCATTTCTTTGAAGCATTTGAGAAGATAGAAAAATACACTCCACAATCTCTACCTGTAGAAGGTGGTTCCTTAATGTCTGGCTCCATTTTTTCTACCACTTTCCATGATCCTTCTCTTTTGTTTTATATTATTATATTAAACAATTTAAAATATTTTTATTTTTTCTATTTTTTTATTTATATTTATAATAACATAAGTTTTCCCCGTGCATCGCGCGAGTGAATTACTAGTGTGTGTGTATATATATATATATATATATATTAGGTTCTGGTGCGGTTGGCACCAAAGTTTGAAACTCAGCAACTACAGATTAAACCTTTAAGGAGAAAAAAAAATGCTTGATTACTTCCATTTGGACAAATGTCAATTACAGATTAACCAAGTACAGCCACTTCATTTCCTTAGCTCATCCTTATTCAGCTGAAAGTGTGGCATTGGCATTTATGGAACATGTCTATAAGTTACATGGGTTGCCCAAAGACATTGTAACTGACAGAGATAAGGTATTCCTTAACAAATTCTGGCAATGAATCTTCAAACAGCTACAGATTCAACTAAGTATGTCCACTGCATATCACCCTCAGTCAGATGGCCAAGTTGAGAGGGTCAATAAATGCTTAGAGACTTATTTGAGAAACATGGTGTTCAGCAAGCCAAAAACTTGGGCTAAGTGGCTACACTTGGCTGAATATTGGTATAATACTAATTTCCATTCTTCCCTATAGTGCACTCCCTTTTAGGCTCTTTATGGTTATAAGCCACCTATATATGCTAACTCTGGGAATGGGAACAATAGTTGGAGAAGATGAGTGGGTTGCTGAAATAGAGGCCTTGCTAGCAGTGCTTAAAGACAACTTGAGTTTGGCCCAACATAGGATGAAGCAACATGCAGATAAGAGAAGAAGTGAGAGAGTTCTACAAGTGGGAGATTGGGTGTATTTGAAAGTTCGGCCTTACAGACAGATCTCAGTAGCTGTAAGGACCAACATTAAGCTTACTGCTAAGTACTATGGACCCTATCAAGTCACTATGTTGAAATAATGCATTATATTTATATTAACCAATTTAAGATTTTAAATTCAGTAATAAGAACACACCAAATCATCATTTACTAAAATGTATAATTTGTCAAACAATTATTTCTCAAATTAATATATTTAATAATATTTTAAGAAAAATAGTCAAATAACTTTTTCTCAAATAGTGTAATTAAGTTTTCTAATTGTAAATTTTCATAAAAATCCGCTTAATCAACAAAAAGTGCACTTAAGTTATAATCTTACCCATTTAGTAAGTTATCGTTAATTAGGGATGTGTAATTTTCAAAGGTATCACTAATTTGGTCTAAAATTGTACTAGTTTGAGCACAAAATTTTAAAATTTTAAAAATAAAAGAAAAACGATAAGTTTTTGTTGAATGAAGACAATTATGATTGTCCAATTTTTTTAAAAAATTAAATTTATTTTGACATTCATGATTATTTGTTATTGAAGCAAGAATGTAGTTGAACGAATACAATATGGTGACGGAATTTTTTTAAATTTTTTTTGAAAGATTCATTTAATGATAGATGGTTCAAGTTTTTAAAATTTATTTTTTCACGCTGTTATAGTTTTAGACCGAATTATCACTATTTCTGGACAAAAAATGTAATTCAGGTAATCATACATAGAGATTTGGTAAGAAATTGTAAAAAGGATAGTTTGGGCGCGGGAAACGAGACGTCGGGCCTCGACGGTTAAGAAACCCAACCATAAAGTAGTTACCTTATTATTTCATCCTATTTTCCCATAACTACATAAGCTTCCACTTTCCTCACTCAACTCTCAGCTCATTTCATCCATTCTTGCTTATTTCGTCACTGAACCCCCCACCATCACCTTCATTCAGCCCATCAAACTAGTTCTTTCTTCCCAGGAATTTGAACATTTGATTTGATCTTAGATTCCAGGAATGATGGAGAGTGCAAAGAAGAAACGTCAAGACCACGGCTTGCTGGATGTAGTGTTTTCTTGGTCTTTAGAAGACGTGACAAACAAAAACTTGTACAGAGACAAGGTTTGCGTCTTCTCTGCATTTTGCAGCTATCTAGCAGAATCCTAGTTGTTTTTTTCTGGTTTAATATTATCCTCTTGTTTTTTGGTGTTTTAGGTTAAGGAAATCCCGGATACCTTCTTGTCCACGCATCATTACTTCACCTCATTCATCTATCCTCTTCTAGAAGAAACCCGTGCTGATCTCTACTCAAACATGACAAATTCACTCCGCAATGCCCCGGCTTGTGAGGTCTTAGACATGAAAATGGCTAAGCATTTCAAACCTCCTAAAGATTTCTACTACAACATTCTGTTGAAGACAACTAGGGAGAGTGATGGTGGCAGTAAACAAGTATATGAACCAGAGGTTTGGGATTTAATCGCCTTCTCTGATGTAATGCCCAAGTGCATTGAGGATCTGAACCGACCAAATATATCCTATGTTATAGCTTTAGTCCTAGGAAATATAAATTATTGCACAACAAGGTTTCTAGTTTTGTCATCAAAGCCCATTTTATTATTCCACAATAACTATGGGAAGAAAGGGAGAAGGAGAGATAAGCTTTTTGCTGTTCATCTTACTAATATGAATACAAGTATGAATCATTAGCGGAGCGATTAGAGTTTTGTATGACAACCTTGTACACACATTTGCCTACTTCACACCTCCCTTTGGGAATAGTGGAAAAGATGGTTAGAGCACATAACATGCTCCAGACTCTAGGAGCATTGTTGAAAACTGTTGGTGAGGCAAATGGAGGACTAAGGGTTGGCCTAAAGGGGACTAGGAGGAATATTCACTTTGATTCATGGCAGGCAACAAAATCAGAATGTGTTGTGATCTTGAAACTTCTTCGTGGCAGCTTTACTCTCCCAAAACATTCTAAAATTCGAAGCTTTTGCTTGAATAAAACAATCTTGATTTTTTCTACTGCCTCGAGTTCATTCAAATTGCACACTGAAAGGATAACACCAATAGAGGTGTTGGTAATTGATGAAGCTGCTCAGCTTAAAGAATGTGAATCCACTATTCCCTTGCAGCTACCCGGTCTTTGCCATGTTATACTAATTGGAGATGAGAAACAATTGCCAGCAATGGTTCAGAGCAAGGTTCGTTTCGACAATTGTCTTAGCTTGCTTGCAACTATTTATATTTAGTATTTTATAGTTAGCAACTAATGTATGCATGTTATGTTATCCACAGATTTGCGAGAAGGCTGATTTCGGGAGGAGCTTGTTTGAGAGGCTGGTTAAATTAGGACACAAAAAGCACCTCCTCAACATCCAATACAGAATGCATCCCTCTATTAGTTTGTTCCCAAATAGACGGTTCTATAAAGGGAAGGTCATGAATGGTCCTAATGTCACAAATTTAAGGTATGAGAAGCGATTTCTTGAAGGAAACATGTTTGGTCCGTTTTCTTTCATCAACATAAGAAAAGGAAAAGAAGAGCTTGATTGCAAACATAGTAGTAAAAACATGGCAGAAGCTTCTGTGGTAGCTGAGATTGTTGCTATGCTCTATAAAGGTAATTTAATTTCTATTTTATTTTTTTGTCACATGCATACTCATTTTCGTCTTTAGTTTCGTGTTAATAATTTTCTTTTGTTCAACGACGGTAGAATCCCTATCTTCGAAACAAAGACTTTGTGTTGGTTGCATATCACCATACAAAGCTCAGGTCTTTGCAATCCAAGAAAAGCTTGGCAAGAAATACAGCACAGATATGGACAGTGACTTCTCTGTGAATGTACGATCTGTTGATGGCTTTCAAGACGGGGAAGAGGACGTGATCATCATATCTACAGTGCGATGTAATGGAAGGGGATTGGTAGGCTTCTTGTCCAACTTTCAGCGAACAAATGTGGCTCTCACTCGAGCTAGGTAACTAACTAACTGTCTTTAATTTATGTGAAAAAACTGTTAATGAAACATCATTATTTTTGTGTGTTCAATGTTGTGTTTCCCAGATACTGCCTTTGGGTATTAGGCAACAGTGAGACCTTGATCGGTAGTGGTTCAGTTTGGAGGGACTTAGTAATGAATTCTAAGGCGCGCGGTTGCTACTACGATGCCTGCAGTGACAAGAACCTGGAACAAGCAATTGCAGATTCATCTGATGACTTAACAACTAATCTTTCTGCATTGAGCCTTAGGGATGAATCTGGATTTTCTTCCGAATCCTTTTTGGTCAGCAGCTTTAATTTATATATAAACTTCACTTTTTAGTTTACATTGTTGTTGAAACATGTTATTCAGAAACTTGCATGTTACTCTCATGTTTATCAGAAATGGGAGGACCTTCTGAATCAGAGCTTGGGTTTCACATAAACGAGGATGGGTCTGAGGAAGTAACGAGCAGATCGAACAAGTTCAAATTGATGAGAATGAAGACAGGCCGGTCTTATGATGATCACCACCTTTTGTTTTTGTTTGAATGAATTTTAGTATGACTAATTTTTGTGCACTTGAGAGTTAAAAGGCATGACAGACAATATTATGTATTTGTTAAGATGCCGATTAATATTTAAAATATTTTCCGTATCAATTATGAAAATGTTTGCTTACAATGGCTTAGCTCACTAGTTCAGTATGTAATATTTGAGAGAAGACATCAAAATTTGAAACTCGACAACTGCAAATTAAATAAGGAGAAGGAAAATGCTTGATTACCTCCATTGGACAAATGTCAATTTTAACCATTCTTTTGTTGATAAGGTTGTAATTTGCTCTTTAGTTGTCTAATTTTATGAAAATATATAAGATAGAATTAATAATGGATGGTTAAATTTATATGTCATTAAAAATTGGTGCCAAGATTAAAGAAGATTATTTGAATGAGTAACTCAAAAGGATACATATTCGAGTTGGATTTTGTTTGATGGACAAAATATGCTATAAAGATATTTACTATGTTGAAATAATGCATTATATTTGATGTAGTAAATACGAGGTATATTATTAAATACAGAATGTATTATATAACCTACGATCCCTAGTCGGGCGCCTGGACAACGCCTAGCGCTTAGGCGGGCGTCAAAAAAACAGTGATAGATTTGCAGTTTGACAATTTTAATGAGATTATTTTCAACATTTAATCAAATAACACATCCAAATAAATGAATTATTAATGATAATTCATAAGTCATAACATCAAAACAATGATTTTCAAAAAAAAAAAACATTAAAACAATATTAAAAATTAAAAATACTCAAATACTTCAATCATCCAAAGATTCAAAGTATCAAACTAGTCTATGAGTGTATATATGTCATATTATATATATGTATGCGCGCGCGCGCGCACACACACATATAATAAAAAAAAAAAATAGACCGAGCCGATCGGATTAACTCAATCGAAATGGACGAGTTAACTCGACTAACTTAGACGCTAGGCGGACGCCTAGACGGCCAGTAACCTAGGCGGGCGCCTAGGGGGGAAATCGCCACGGTCTAAAGGCGCCTAGCGCCTAGACCGATTTTTACAACCAGGACTCCAATAACACTACTAATGACATCAAACCACCATGTCCGATCCTATCATTTTATAGGTCCGGGGCAGGTCAAAAAAAATATACCTACCTGAATTAACTTATATTTTTATACCTTAAATTTATATTATATAACAAAAAAAAATACTAATATCAAATAAGTTGAAAGAAGATTCACAAGTTTTAAATAATATTACATACACAATAATAATCATAAAATTTTTTTTAAGTGCTTTACTAAATGTAAAATAATCAATAAGTGCATCATTCCATTCATAAATAAATAAATAATTATAGTTTATAAAAACGAATATACAATGTAAAATCAAATAAACTTACAAACAATAACATTATTATTATAATAAATAATAAATTAATTATTAATAAAAATTAATAAAATAAACTTACAAATAGGGACGGAGCTAAAAAATATTCTTGATTCGAGATGAGAAATCAAAATACCTCAAAATGTAATAAAATATTCATAACAAAATATGAAAAATAATTAATTGGATAAAATAGTTCAAATAAAAAAGACATTATATATTATACATCTCCTATAATTATATTATTATATTTATAAATATGTTTTTCTTTTAGCTGGAACAATTTTCAAATTTTTCTAAAATAATTTGAATACGATTGCACATAATAGAAACTTCTATATTACATTGACTAAATGATTCATGAAAAAAAGTAAAATATCATTTAATTTTTAATAATTAATCAAGTTAAATAATTTTTATAATTAATAACTCATTATAAGAGCTTACAAAATAACACATGTTATCAATATAATTAAGTACTCCCGTATTAAATTATTCAGCTATACAATTATACAATTAATATTATAAATTAATCGTACAAATCAAAATTTTATATCCTAACATGTAAGTCATTTATTGAGCATATAGTCAAAAGGTTGGAAACCTGAGTATAACAACCATGTTTTATACCTCTACTTCATCTTTAACTAAAAAAAAAGTTAATTTTAACTTTGGTCTAGATTTATAGGTGATAGTTAACTTTTATTTTTATTTTTATAATTAAAATATCTACTTTTGACCATAGTATTATTGTGACATGATTATTTTTTATCATCTATCAACAAAATAGTTCAATATTGTTAAATAAAGGGCTGGGCATCAATTATTAGGTTCAGTTATTCATTAACTTCTTTCCAACATCAATGTAACATCTATTAAAAATTATACAGAGCTCGATTTGAGGATTTTAGATGTACTCAAATAAAAAAAGAATTGTGAATTTGAGAATTTTAGGCGTATTTAAATAACAAATTATTTTGTCACATCAAATTCAAGAAGTATAATGGTATTTTCACCTAAAGTTTTGACTTTTTTTTTTTTTTTTTTTTTTAAATTATGGATTTTGAAAATTTTGTCACACTTATTGCTCTTTATGAGCCATTTTCCAATTTGTCTTTTTATGTTACTGATCTTATGATTTTTTTTCTTTAAAAAAAAAAAAACTTGTAGTGAGTTGCATTTTTTACTTTTAAGTATTTTTCAACTTTTTGCGCAAAGAGAGTGTTGTATGCAAATCTATTTTTTTCATTAATATTCTCATTTCATCAACAACATGTTACTAGCAATATAATTGAATTTAGTAATACTAAAAAAAATAATTGAATAAGGTGTTTTATTTAACTAAAAGTTTAAGTTTATAGATACTAAACTACACATTTATATTTATATATCAGGTGAATTTTTCTCATTGAAATGGACATTCATATTAATATTGTATTATATATGCTCAAGTGCTCAACATTAACTAAACGATTATTTCTTAAGAAATTGTGAAAACAAAACGTCATTTCACTGTATTTAGACCTCAACGATTAAGGAACCCAACGACAAATTAACGAGTCGTCTTCTTTCCCAACAACGTTAGGCTTCCTCCAATGTGGCTCTTCTGTATATATATCTTAATCGCATCGGCTTTGCAATTCTGTGCTACACACACACTCTCTCTCTCTCTCTTTGTAAATCACTGAGCCCAGGTCATTCTTCACTCTTGTATTGCTTTATCTATCTACTGATCAGTTAGTTGTTTCCGTACGGAGACACTGCCTTTTTGCTTTCATTTTAGATATAGAGAAAACGTTAAAGAAGTGGGTTGTCCTGTGTGTATAGTAATCTTTCTCTATTTTGGAATGCACTGTTGTTTACTTCAACTTTGGTTTTGCTCCGTCTGAAATGCATGCAATATAATGCGAAAGAAGAAGATAAGCTAGTGGAGTGAACTTAAGCTTTAATTTATGTATGTATCTGATCGAACATTTGATCTGATCTAGCTTCAAGGAATGATGGAAACTGCAAAGAAGAAAGGAGGGAAGAAACGTGAAGGGCGGGGTTTGATCGATGTAGTGTTTTCGTGGTCTTTAGAAGACGTGATGAACAAAAATCTGTACAAAGACAAGGTTTGAGATCCAGTTATTGCATGCCCCTCAGCCTCAGCGCATGCCCCCCGTAGATATGATGAATTGTGTAACAACAACACAATGTGTTCACCCAAGTTCTGTTAAGCTGATTTGGGGTCCTCCCGGAACTGGGAAAACAATTAATTTGCTTCAAACTCTTGGAGCATTGTTGAAAACTGTTTCTGAGACACCTGGAGGACTGAGAGTTGGCTTTAAGGGGACCGACGCTGGAGGACTCATTTCTGCATTTTCGACAGTAAAATCAGATTGCGTTGCACTGTTAGAACGTCTTCGTGGCAGCATTAGGCTCCCAAATTTTTCTGAAAAGTATGAAATTCAGAGCTTTTGTTTGAAAAATGCAGTCTTGATTTTCTCTACTGCCTCAACTTCATCCAAGTTGCTTGCCAGTACCCCAATTGAGGTGGTTGTGATTGATGAAGCTGCTCAGCTTAAAGAATGTGAATCCACTATTCCATTGCATCTACCCGGTCTTCGCCATGCTATACTCATCGGAGATGAGAAACAATTGCCAGCCAGGGTGCAAAGCAAGGTTTTCACTGCAGCCTAGCTAGCTTAGCTTACAACTATTTGTTTTACAATCCAGTTTTTGAACTTATAGCAACTAATGAATGTATGTTATCCACATATTTGCGAAGAGGCTGAATTTGGGAGGAGCTTGTTTGAGAGGCTGGTTAAATTAGGACACAAGAAGCACCTTCTTAACATCCAATACAGAATGCACCCTTTTATTAGTTTGTTTCCAAATAAGAAATTCTACGATGAGAAGGTCACTAATGGTCCTAATGTCACCAACGAAAGATATGAGAAGCGATTTCTCAAAGGAAACATGTACGGACCATATTCTTTCATCAACATAAGCAAGGGAAAAGAAGAGCTTGATGACAATTGTAGTAGTAGAAACATGGCAGAAGCTTGTGCAGTAGCCAAGATTGTTGCAATGCTTTGCAAAGGTCTTTTTTCTTCCCCTTTTTATTTTTGTCACCTGCTGGTTTTGGTGTTTTGCTTTAATTTGTTTAATGATGTAGAATCTCGAGCTTCGAAACAAAGAGTCCGTGTTGGCTGCATATCACCATACAAAGCTCAGGTCTTTGCCATCCAACAAAAGCTTGGCAAGAAATACTGCACAGATGTGGAGAGTGAGTTCTCGGTGAATGTACGATCTGTAGATGGGTTTCAAGGCGGAGAAGAAGACGTGATCATCATATCAACAGTTCGGTCTAATGGAAGAGGAGCAGTGGGGTTCTTGTCCAACTTTCAGCGCACAAATGTCGCCCTGACTCGCGCTAGGTACTGTGTTACAATGCAAGTAAAATCAGTGTGTTATACTGTTAAGTATGCATTATTATTGTCCATTTTTGTTGGTGTTTTGCAGATACTGCCTTTGGGTTCTGGGCAACGGTGCGACCTTGATCAATAGTGGTACGGTTTGGAGGGACATTGTCGTAGATTCTATTACCCGTGGCTGTAACTATGATGCCTGCAATGACAAGGACTTGGGACAAGCACTTGCATATGTGTCTGATGAGCTAACAACAAAGATGTCTGCAATGAGTCTTGGTCATAAACCTGCCTTTGGGTGAGCTTTTAATTTGGCTGCTTTAGTAATACCACATTTTTTTTTTTGTAAACCACGAGGTGGTTTCTTTGTCCATTTAACGGTCTAGGTTCACCCGACTAATCCCGTTAGCTCCGGGAGACATGAGAGCTGGTCCAAGGAGAATTATCACTTGTAGAATTGGCTGCTTTAGTAATACCACATTTGTTTTTACATTGTTGAAACATGTGGTTCAGAAACTTGTTTCTCATGTAGTGTTTCAGAAAGAAGAAGAATTTCGAGAATAGAGATCGGTTTTCGTACAAACATAGAGGGGATGAAGAGGATGTAAGAGCAAAATCAAAAGTTCCATTCGAACATTAATGTTGAGGAATTTTAGTATGACTTCTTTTGTACTACTTCGAAAGTTTTATCAGACTGTCTCGTCCATATATCGTGCACTGAAAAATGAATTTGGAGCACCGTTCTTTGGATGTAATTTAAATGACTTTTGTGAATTTTTTCTTTTTATTTTCATATCTTTTAAACTTTCATAAACTTTGTACGACTCCTTCAAAATCTGTATGACAAAAATTTATAATTTTTAAATAATTTTTCATATTAAAAAATTTACAAAAGTTATTAAAATTTTAAATTTAATATATCTCTACATTGCATAATTTCTATTAATGCATTATTTTATACAGTTTTTATAATACATGATATAAATTGTCAAACAGGTATTGTGTACCAAAAGAGTGCACTGTGGAACTTGGTCCACGATATAAATTGCCAAACAGGTCATTTTGAGTTGAATTGCTTGAGTTTGTGTTGTTTAGGAACTCTTGCATTTTTTTATTTTTTATTTTGAGTTCAATGACCTAATTGGAGTTTGGTGTACCGTTGAGTGACGTATTTGACCATTATTCCTAATTACTCTAAAGTAGATGAAAATCATTCAAAAATTTAAAACTATTTCCTTTTTGTGAAAAATCCAACTCAACACAAATACATATATTATAATAATTAATAATGAACATATGGCTACATAAAATTAAAATTAATTGTCTTCAATAAAAAAAATAATAATAATACTATAACTCTGCTACGAATAACAATTAATAATAGACATATGATTAAATAAAATAAAAAATAATTGTATTTAAAATTTTATTAATGTTGCAAACAACAAGAAGAAATAGCAGCAACAAATTATGTTGTTGTTCACAACACAAATTTCAATATATATATATATATATATGTGTGTGTGTGTGTGTATAAAAATAAAAAGTATATGAATATGTATGAAAGATTGAAAGTTATGTAACGTAGAGTAAAATTTGACAGGAATTGATGAAACGCTTGTCTGGTTCAAATAGGGAAAAAAAGTTCGTAGAGAAAGTTGAAAAGTTTGAAGTTCGAGGGTCGTATTTTAACTATTTATATTTGTGAAAGAAAAATCTACAGAAATATTAATCTGGTAGAGTCTATAAAAGTTAATAAATTTTTGAATACCAGTAGACTTTTAAAGACTCCTTAAAAGTCTGAATCAATTACCAATATATTTTTAAAGACTTTTAAATAGTCTTTAAAAGTCAAGATCGAATACCATTAAATTTTTAAAATCGTTAAAAGTTTAAAAATTTATAAAAATATTGATTGAATACACCCCTAAGTTATAGGAAAACTGAGTGTAATGTGACAAAACAATCAAGCATTTCAAAAAGGGAAAATGACACTTTTTACCACAAAGTTATATACTTATAGCACTTTTTCCCCCTCAATTATTTAGGTAAGCACATTAGTCCCCTCAATTATTTTAAAAGTGGTGTTTTTTCCCCCTGATATATTAAATTGACATTTATACCCTTAAAGTAAACATTTTATTTATTTTACTTCTCTAACTTATTGCGTATATGTAGGGATAACCACAGTTCGGTTTGAATTGAACCGGATACTAAAGCAATCGAATTAATAGTTTCCGATTATGATTCAGATCTAGAACCCAATATTTAAATGTCAATTTATTAAAATTATGTATCAAAAAAATTGAGTCTTGAACCGTGAACCCGCGATTTCGGATCCGATTCGCAATTTTGAACCGTCTTTATTTTAAAATTTTATTTTGTATTTTAAAATAGTCTAAATTCAACAATAAATGTATTTTATTTTTTCAGTTCAGAATATAAACCGTCCGTTCCGGTTCATGATTTTAATAAACTCTAAATATCGGATTTCGATTCTAAATTGTAATTGGAATATTTCGGTTTGGTTGCTATAGTGTTTGTTTGGTTTGAACCAAATTATGGTCATAATTTGTTGAAAAAAAAATAAATGAAATATTTATTTTAAGGGTAAATATGTCCATTTAACATTTCAGGGGGGAAAACAGCCACTTCAATAATTCAGGAGGGAAAAATGCTATAAGTATATAACTCAGGGGGAAAAAGTGTCATTTTCCCTTTCAAAAAATATGACACTAAAAAAAGTTGGACAATTTTATGAAAAAGACATTTGGGACATGCGTTTGAGGTCAGAAACGCATGTCCCAAATGCATTTGAAATTTATTTATTTTTTTCAAATGCTGACCACAAACACAAGTGGGAATTGCGTATCTCGAATGTATGTATTATACAGAGGTCCGAGAACAACGAATGGAAACATCTACAACACCGATCCAACTTTCAATCTTCAGGTCTAGAACTTCCGGACCTGCGAAGAGCTCAATTTCTTGACTCCGAGCTTGTGTAGTCCTTCGTCTATGATTGATTTCCGAATTACTTTGTATATTTTCCAATGTTGCAAAAAACGTTAGGCGCCAAGGAGGCCTAGGCGCCGATTTTTTATTTTTTTATTTTTTTTTAATTAAAAAAAATTTTAAAATTAAAAATTTAGTACTAAAACATAAGGTTTCCATAGTTATTTCTTAGAAACTATTTACAAAAGTGGTTGTAAAATTGTTCAAAAGATTGTTTAAACCATCTAAACACATAAAAAAAAAAACTAAAATTAAGAGCTAAAGAAGCATTTTTTTTTTGAGAAATTAGTGGACCAAACCGCCTATGACGAAAAAATACGCGATTTGAAAAAAAAAATTGTCCAAATCGGACAACCGAGTCAAAAGTTATGCCTTTCGAAACTTTTCTGACAATTTTAAAAAAAAAAAAAAAATCGCTGAATCGGCCGATTAGGCGGTCTAGACGGTCGCCTAGCCGGCCGGCCGCGGAGGAGGCCGCCGAGGCCATTCCTCGCTGCGGCCTCCTAGCGCCTAGCGCCTAGGCGCCGATTATGGCGCGATTTTTGCAACATTGATATTTTCAAGCACTCCTTGGCGTATCCAAATGAGATCATGCACTCGGCAATCAATCTCAAATCCGCCATCGCAATGCTCGACGCATCTTCAACTTCGGCTATGGAATCGCCGGCGGCCCTGTTTCATCCTCCTCGTCGTCAACGTCGTAATCAGATTGACTGGACAGAGTCGAGGCACGTGAGACTGACGACCGGGTGGTCCACGGACGAGCTTGAATGCTCCATCTCCAAAAACTGCATCGCTTTCTGCAGATTATACACACACATGATGAACTCCTTGTCGGGCCTCTGTATAATACATACATTCGAGATATGCAAGTGGGAATTGCATTTGATGTATTTTATACATCAAATGCAATTCCCACTTGCGATTGTGGTCAACATTTGAAAAAAAAAAAAATTTAAATGCATTTGGGACATGCATATCAACACATGTCCCAAATGTCTTTTTCATAAAATTGTTCAACTTTTCGAGTGTCATATTTTTAGAAATGCTTGATTGTTTTGTTACATTATAGTCAATTTTCCTAAGTTATATAAACTTTAAAAAGTAGAACTAAAAATAGTAAAAAGTTATAAAAACTTTTAAAATTATATTGTAATAGGACCAGTAACATTCAAAAAAAAAAAAAAGTATTAACTCACTTGTCTCTTATTTTTGGTAATTAACTCTTTAACCGGACTTCTCAAAAAAAAAAAAAAAAAAAAAAAAAAACTCTTTAACCGGAAGCTAAACACAAAGTGTCCAAGTAATACTTTATTGTCCATTTGTTTCCGGGAAGCCTCCCAGAAGAACATCATGTCATCCGCAAAGTAAATAATAAAAAATAATAGTTCTTTTGATGTATTTCTATCACTTTTAATATAAATAAAAATTAATGCAATATTTTTCTAGAGAAAAATAATATTTTTAAGAAAAATGTATTGTTTTTTACATTTAATTATTATACAACACAATTTTAAAAAAAAATAAAAAAATTGCCTTGCCAGTTTCCCACCCTTTCCACCAGACTACCAGAGGCCTACAACATCATCTTTGGAATCATTGACCTTTGCTACAGAGCTGTTTCTTGTTGACTCGTTGAGTCGTTGTATATTCTTTAATCCCACTCTTCTTCTTGCTTTATATTTTTCTCTGTATATTCTGAAATCCGTACACATTTTCCTTTTTCCAAGTTACTACCTTTTTAGCTTTCATTTACTTGGGTTTTGCTTCGTCTGGAAGGCAAAAAATATCACACTTGTTTTTTTAACAAAGAAGGGGAGTGGGAACTGAAAAGAACTGAGCTTTATGTGTAACTTTTGGTTAGGTAGATATATTTGAATATTTGGTTTGATCATCCTGGAACGATGGAAATTGGAAAGGAGAAACAACGTCCAGGGCAAGGGTTGATGGATGCAGTGTTTTCTTGGTCTTTAGAGGACGTGATGAACAAGGATTTGTACAGAGACAAGGTTTGATTCTTGCTATGCCTTCTTTGAACTCATGCATTCCTCTTAGTCTAAAATGGTAAAAAAGTTTGCTGCTTTATTTGTTCTTGATGATGATCTGTTTTATGTTATTTTCTGGAGTGTTTGTACTTTGTACAGCTTGTCATATTGCATTTCATTCAGATGACTAAATACTTTATATAAAATTGTGTGTTTTTTCTATTTAGTTGTTTGAAGTCACGTTTGATTCTCATGTCTAAATTCTTGTAAATTTTATTGATCCTCTTCATGTTGGTAAACTTGCAAGTACTTTCAGTTTGCTGTGGTATCATGTAAGCTTTGCAGAATTGCAGCTTAAGTAATGATATGAAACACTTATTTCTTGTCTCATTTAATATAATCAACTTGGTTTGTGATGTTTTAGGTTAAGAAAATCCCAGATACCTTCATGTCCACGGATCATTACCTCAATTGTTTCATCAATCCACTTCTTGAAGAAACACATTCTGATTTGTACTCAAACATGACAAATTCACTCCGAAATGCCCAGGCTTGTGAGGTCTTAGATGTGAAAATCTCCAAGGGTTTCAAGTTCCCTAAAGATTTGGTATACGATATTTTCTTGAAGACAACTAGAGAGGGTGGCGATGATAGTAAACAACCGTATGAACCCGAGGCTGGGGATCTAATTGCATTCTCTGATGTGAGGCCCAAGCGTGTTGAGGATTTGAACAGACCAAAGATGTCATATGTCATAGCTGTAGTCCAAGGCAGGAAAGATGATGGTTCAGCAAGGTTTCCAATCTTGTCATCAAAGCCCGTTACCTTCAAGAAAAACATGGAGAAAGGGAGAGAGGGAGATAAGCTTTTTGTTGTTTATCTTACCAATTTGACAACAAATATTCGTATATGGAAATCTCTGAATATGGACAAGGAAAATGCTAACTTAAAGATTATCAAAACAGTGTTGCAAATTGATCCCAAAGTAAGATACTTCCTTCCTATTGCTTTGTTATTTTATTTTCTGTTTGGTTTTTTACCTTACATAAAACTTAATATCTCTTTGAATTCTAAATGGAAGTTCAAACTTGTCCAGGATGAAGGAAATTGTGCCCTCTGCACCAATAGAGGAACTCAAGGTACTGTTTTATTGAATGCTAAGGCAGCTCTACAATCCTTTGGATTAGATAATTCCCAGGAAGAAGCTGTTTTGAGCTGTGTAAAAGCAAGAAAATGTGTTCACCGAAGTTCTGTTAAGCTGATTTGGGGACCTCCCGGAACTGGGAAAACAAAGACAGTTGCATCCTTGTTATCTGTCCTCTTCAATATGAAATGCAGAACATTGACTTGTGCTCCAACGAACATTGCAGTCATAGGAGTTGCAAAGCGGCTTATGAAACTGGTAAGGGGTAGTCTCCAGTATGATCCTTATGGTCTAGGAGACATTGTTTTGTTTGGTAATGGGGAAAGAATGAAGGTCAATGATCACGAGGATCTATTGAATGTGTTTTTGGATTACCGTGTTGATTCTCTTGCTAGTTGTTTGTCACCATTGGTGGGGTGGCAGGCATGTTTGAATTGGATGATAAATTTGCTTGAGGAACCTGAAGAGGAATATCAGAAGTACTTAGGATATGAAAAAGTCGCCAAATGCAATGTTGTTCAATGTCACAGAGGAAAGGTAACACTTTTGACATTTGAGGAGTTTGTTTTGAAGGAATATGAACCCTTAGCGGAGCGATTAGAGTTTTGTATGACAACCTTGTACACTCATTTGCCTACTTCATACATCCCTTTGGAAATAGTGAAGAAGATCGTTAGAGCACATAATTTGCTTCAAACTCTTGGACCATTGTTGAAAACTGTTGCTGAGACATGTGGAGGACTGAGAGATGCCCTTAAAGGGATTAAAGTTTCTTTTCCTAAGTGGAAGAAGCACATTGATGCATTGCAGACAACAAAATCAGAATGTGTAGTAATATTAAAGCTTCTTAGTGGCAGCATTACTCTCCCAAATCTTTCTGAAAACAATCAAATTCGAAGCTTTTGTTTAAAAAGTGCAGTCTTGATTTTCTCTACTGTCTCGAGTTCTTCCAAACTGCACTCTGAAGGGATGACACCAATAGAGGTGTTGGTAATTGATGAAGCTGCTCAGCTTAAAGAATGTGAATCCACTATTCCCTTGCAGCTACCCGGTCTTTGCCATGCTATACTAATTGGAGATGAGAAACAATTGCCAGCAATGGTTCAGAGCCGCGAGGTTTTGAAAGTTGTCTTAGCTTTCAACTATTTATTTTATTTTATAGTTAGCAACTAACTAATGTATGTTATGTTATCCACAGATTTGTAAGAAGGCTTATTTCGGGAGGAGCTTGTTTGAGAGGCTGGTTAAATTAGGACAGAAGAAGCACCTCCTTAACATTCAATACAGAATGCATCCCTCAATTAGTCTGTTCCCAAATAAGAAATTCTACAAAGGGAAGGTAATGAATGGTCCTAATGTCAGAGACACAAGATATGAGAAGCGATTTCTCAAAGGAGACATGTTTGGACCATATTCTTTCATCAACATAAGCAATGGAAAAGAAGATCAAGGTGATAAAAGTAGTACTAAAAACATGGCAGAAGTTTGTGCAGTAGCTGAGATTATTGCTATGCTTTTCAGAGGTAATTTCTTTTTTGTCCTTAGTACTGCTCTAAACTTTAGTCTTGTGTTGCTAATTTTCTTTTGCTCAATGATGGTAGAATTTCTAGATTCAAAACAAAGAGTCCGTGTTGGCTGCATATCACCATATAAGGCTCAGGTTTTTGCAATCCAAGAAAAGCTTGGCAAGAAATACAGCACAGATATGGAGAGTGAGTTCTGTGTGAATGTACGATCTGTAGATGGATTTCAAGGCGGAGAAGAAGATGTGATCATCATATCTACAGTTCGGTCTAATGGAAGTGGAGAAGTGGGCTTCTTGTCCGACTTTCAGCGAGCAAATGTGGCTCTGACTCGGGCAAGGTACTGTTTTGTTTTCCTAGACAAATTAATCTGACAAACTGTTACTGAAATATAAGTATTAAGTTTTGTGCTCTTTTTACAGATACTGCCTTTGGGTATTAGGCAATGGCGCGACTTTGATCAATAGCGGTTCAGTTTGGGGAAACTTAGTACTACATTGTAAGGTCCGCGGGTGCTACTATGATGCCTGCAATGATAAGAACTTGGAAAAAGCAGTTGCAGATGCATCTGATGAGTTAACAACCAAGTTATCAGCCAGGATTCCAAGTGATAAACCTAGCATGTTTTCTGCCACCACTCAGAATGATAAGCCTAGCATGCTTTCTGCCACCACTCCAAATGATAAGCCTACCAAGTTTTATGCCACGAGCCCAAGTGATAAGCCTAGCACGCATTCTGCCACCACTCCAAATGATAAGCCTACAAAGTTTTCTGCCGCGAGCCCAAGTGATAAGCCTAGCACGCATTCTGCCACCACTCCAAATGATAAGCCTACCAAGTTTTTTGCCGCGAGCCCAAGTGATAAGCGTAGCACGCTTTCTGCCACCACTCCAAATGATAAGCCTAGCCAGTTTTCAGCTGGGAGTCCAAGTGATAAATCTATACATTCTTCCAAAACCTTTTGGGGAGCTTTTAGCTTTAAAACTGCCATTCTTTCTGTTGGTATAGTTACTTGTTTGGCGTATTTGTCAAAAAGAAATTGAAGAGGGCAATTTGTGTTGTTAAAGGAAAAGTTCTGGTGAATCATCCTCAATCAAGAATCAAAAGCAAATTTCAGTTGAAGGTGCTATAATAGATCAGCAACAGTGTATGGAGTTAAGTACTCGTTTGTTTGTATGCTTAATGATTGAACTACTTCATTCTGAACTAGTGCCTCGTGGATTTAACCGCCTTAGTCACGTTTGATTCTCATGTATAAATTCTTGTAATTTTATTGATCTTATTCATGTTGGTAAATTTGCAAGTACTTTCAATTTGCTGTGGTATCATGTAGCTTTGCAAAATTGCAGCTTAAGTAATGATATGAAACACTTTTTTCTTGTCTCATTTAATATAATCAACTTGGTTTGTGATGTTTTAGGTTAAGAAAATCCCAGATACCTTCATGTCCACGGATCATTACCTCAATTATTTCATCAATCCACTTCTTGAAGAAACACGTGCTGATTTGTACTCAAACATGACAAATTCACTCCGAAATGCCCAGGCTGTAGTCCAAGGCAGGAAAGATGATGGTTCAGCAAGGTTTCCAATCTTGTCATCGAAGCCCGTTACCTTCAAGAAAAAACATGGAGAAAGGGAGAGAGGGAGATAAGCTTTTTGTTGTTTATCTTACTAGTTTGACAACAAATATTCGCATATGGAAATCTCTGAATATGGACAAGGAAAGTGCTAACTTAAAGATTATCAAAACAGTGCTGCAAATTGATCCGAAAGTAAGATTCTTCCTTTCCTATTGTTTTGTTATTTTATTTTCTGTTTGGCATTTTACCTTACATAAACCTTATCTTTTTGAATTCTAAATGTAAGTCTTTGAGAAAGCTTGTGGAAAGAGGAAGAGTAATAATTAAAAAGATGATAGAGCATATTCTATAAAGATGAAAAGAAAATACTAAACTGATTTGCTAAGAAATTGGTTTGTCCTGTGTGTACATCTTTCTTCATTTTGAAATGCACTGTTACTTACTTCAACTTTGGTTTTGCTCCGTCTGAAATGCATGCCAAACATATTCCATCTTCCAGGGACTGGAAACTGGAAAGAACATAAACTTTTTGCATCGTGGTTAGCTACATATTTCTCAACATTTGATCTCCCTCATCTTCCAGGAATGATGGAAACTGCAAAGAAGACAAATGGCCTGATCGATACAGTGTTTTCGTGGTCTTTTGATGACGTGATAAACAAAAATTTGTACAAAGACAAGGTTTAAGTCTTGCATGGTTCCAGAGCCTTTCAGATTGCATTCTATTCATATGTCTAAATACTTGGAATATACTCACTTCTTGCTGATTTAAAATTCTGTGTTTTTCTACTATATTTGACTTAAACTATGTCTCATGTTGATAAACTATGAAATGAATCTTTTTACTTGTCTGATATAATCCACTTGGGTTATGATGTTTTAGGTTAAGGAAATCCCAGATACCTTCTTGTCCACATATCATTACCTCAATTCATTCATCTATCCACTTCTTGAAGAAACGCGTGCTGATTTGTACTCAAACATGACAGACTCACTGTTTAATGCCCCGGCTTGTGAGGTATTAGGCTTGAAAGTGTCTAAGGATTTCAAACTTCCGAAAGATTTCTACTACACCATTCGGTTGAAGACAACTAGAGAGGGTGGTGGTGGGAGTAAACAAGTATATGAACCAGAGGTTGGGGATTTAATCGCGTTCTCTGATGTGAGGCCTAAGCGCATCGAGGATCTGAACAGGCCAAAGACATCCTATCTCATAGCTGTAGTTCAAGGCAGAGGGGATGATGATGATGATGATTATGATGATTGGTTTCCAATCCTGTCATCGAAGCCCATTACCTTCCAGAAAAAGGATGGTGGGAAAGGGATGGAGGGAGATAAGCTTTTTGTTGTTTATCTTACTAGTTTGACAACAAATATTCGCTTATGGAAGTCTCTGAATATGGACCTGGAAAGTCCCAACTTAAAGATGATCAAAACAGTGTGGGGAATTGATTGGAATGTAAGATGTTTAAAATCTTTCCCTTTTATCATTTTTATGTTTTACTTGTTTGTTTGTAGCCATGTTTAAAGCATAATAATACCTCTTCGAAATCTAAATAAAAGTTGAAACATGGCCAGGATGACAGAAATTGTGCCTTTTGCACCCAAGAAGAAACCGAGGGGACTATTTTATTGAATGCTAGAGCAGCCATTCACTCCTTTGGATTGGATGATTCCCAGGAAACGACTGTTTTGAGTTGTGTAAAAGCCAGGCAATGTGTTCACAGAAATACTGTTAAGCTAATTTGGGGTCCTCCTGGAACCGGGAAAACAAGAACAGCTGCCTCCTTGTTGTATGCCCTCTTCAATATGCATTGCAGAACTTTGACTTGTGCCCCTACAAACAATGCAGTCATAGGAGTTGCAAAGCAGCTTATGGAACTGGTAACAGGTAGTCTTCATTATCATAGTTATGGTCTCGGGGACATTGTTGTTTTTGGCAATGGAGAACGAATGAAGATCGAGGATCACGAGGATCTGTGGGACGTGTTTCTTGATTATCGTGTTCGTGGTCTTGCTAGGTGCTTGTCACCCGTGGTCGGGTGGCAAGTTGGTTTGGTTCAGATGATAAGTTTGCTCGAAGAGCCTGAAGGTTCATACCACAAATATTTATTATTTGAGTCGATAAAAGAGAAGAATGAAGAGAGTAGTGATGAGGAACAAGAACCAGGAAGTTCAGCTGGGGAACTAAATAAAGACTTGAAGATAAATAAGCATTGGAAAAAGTTCATTATTCAGAGCTTAAAATGGAAAAAGAAGAAAAAGATGAAAGAAGAGTCTCCTCAACCTTGTCACAGTGGAAAGACAAGGATTTGGACATTTGAGGAATTCGTTTTGAACAAGTATAAATCCTTAGCGGATCGACTAGAGTTTTGTATGACAACCTTGTACACTCATTTGCCTACTTCCTACATCCCCCTGGAAGTAGCGAAGAACATGGTTAGAGCACTCGAGGTGTTTCGAACTCTAGGAGCATTGTTGAAAACTGTTTCTACAGAGACAAAGCACATTGATGCATTGCGGGCAACAAAATCAGAATGTGTTGCAACATTACAACTTCTTCAAGGCAGCTTTTGGCTCCCGAATTTCTTTGAAAAAAATCAAATTCGGAGCTTTTGTTTGAAAAATGCAGTCTTGATTTTCTCTACTGCCTCGAGTTCATCCAAGGTGTACACTGAAGAGACACCAATTGAGGTGGTGGTGATCGATGAAGCCGCTCAGCTTAAAGAATGTGAATCCACTATTCCCTTGCAGCTACCCGGTCTTCGCCATGCAATGCTATTTGGAGACGAGAAACAATTGACAGCAATGGTTCAAAGCAAGGTTTTGATTCTTGAAAGAAACTATTTACTTTAGAAGCTAAGTTGGTGAGCTTTTTATATAATGTATGTTATGTGCAGATTTGCGAGAAAGCTAATTTCGGGAGGAGCTTGTTCGAGAGGCTGGCTAAATTAGGAAAAAAGAAGCATCTCCTTAACATTCAATACAGAATGCATCCCTCAATATGTTTGTTCCCAAATAGGAAGTTCTATGAAGAGAAGATCATGAATGGCCCTAATGTCACAAACTTAAGCTACGAGAAACGGTTTCTCAAAGGAACCATGTTCGGTCCGTATTCTTTCATCAACATAAGCAAAGGAAAAGAAGAGCTTGATCACAAATATAGTTTTAAAAACATGGCAGAAGCTTCTGCAGTAGCTGAGATCATTGCTATGCTTTACAGAGGTTATTTTTCTTGTCTTTAATTCTTTGGTTTTGTTGAGCATATAGCCATTAATGTGCAATCCAACTATCAGCTTAGACTTTTAGTTGAGATGGAGCACATGTTTCAATTTGGTATCAGAGCCAGACCAAAGGTCATTGGTTTAATCTCAGCGCCACCCATAAGCGACTACGGTCCACGTGTTGAGCATATCTTCTGTTCAATGATGGCAGAATTTCTAGTTTCAAAGCAAAGAGCTCGTGTTGGCTGCATATCACCGTATAAGGCACAGGTTTCTGCAATCCAAAAACAGATTGGCAAGAAATACAGCAGTGATGTGGGCAGTGAGTTTTCGGTGAATGTACGATCTGTGGATGGATTTCAAGGCGGAGAAGTAGATGTTATCATTTTATCTACGGTTCGGTCTAATGGAATGGGAATGGTGGGGTTCTTGTCCAACCTTCAGCGAACAAATGTGGCTCTGACTCGAGCCAGGTACTGTTTTGTTTCCTGGACGAATTAAATCTGACAAACTGTTAGTGAAATATCAATGTTGTTTGTGGTGTTTTACAGATACTGCCTTTGGGTATTAGGCAATAGCGCGACTTTGATCAATAGTAACTCTGTTTGGAGAGAGTTAGTACTAGATTCCAAGGAGCGTGGATGCTACTATGATGCCTGCAATGATAAGAACTTGGTAAAAGCAATTGCAGATGCTTCTGGTGAGTTAACAACCAAGTTATCAGCAAAGATTCCAAGTGATAAACCTAGCATGTCTTCTGCCACGAGCCCGAGTGATAAACCTAGCATGCTTTCTGCCGCCACTCCAAATGATAAGCCGACCATGTTTTCTGTCTCGACCCCGAGTGATGAACCTAGCATGCTTTCTGCCATGACTCGAAATGATAAGCCTACCATGTTTTCTATCACGAGCCCGAGTGATAAACCTAGCATGCTTTCTGCCACGACTCCGAATGATAAGCCTACCAAGTTTCTAGCTGGGAGTCCAAGTGATAAATGTATACATTCTTCCAAAACCTTTTGGGGAGGTTTTAGCTTTAAAAATGTCATTCTTTCTGTTAGTATATTTGCATGTTTGGCGTTTTTGTGTGTGGTGTCATTTCCTCTCTTCTCTTGCATGTTTAATCTTTTCCATGTGCCTTAGTGTGTGGTAATATTCGCGTACTGTTAGGGGAGTATATTTGTTGTTTCTGCAGTAGCTGAGATTATTGCTATGCTTTACAGAGGTTATTTTTCTTGCCTCCAACTGCTTCTTCTTGTCTTTAATTATACTTTGGTTTTAGCAACTTTCTTCTGTTCAATGATGGCAGTCTCTAGTTTCAGAAACTTGTTACTCACTTATGTGTTTCAGAAATAGAATGATATTCAAGAATACAGCCTGGTTTGTGCATATGATTGACATCGATATCAATAGATACTTTATATAATTTCACATAATACAAAATATATACAATAATAAATGTACCTTTATTTTAATCTTACTGGCAGTTTTTTATCAAACAAAAATTGTCAATTATTTTGTTGGAAACCTTTTTTTAGATAATTAACTAATATTCATTTTACTTATTAACTCAATATTTTAAAATTTGAGGGATGATTATGAAACTCATATTCATGAATTAGGAAAAACACTAACCCAAAATAGATAATATTTTTGAACATTAACCCAACACAGATACTATTTTTCCTGATTCAAAAATATCACAATTAACTGCAAAAGAGATAAAAAGCCCAAAATATAGAAGCGATACTTGCATATGCGAATGAAGAACCAGAGAAGAAAATAGAGGATTAAGAAAATTAGGATTTTAAATTTTTACTTCAAAATTCTTACATGTAGTCCATGTAAGATAATAAGAAAAAAAATATAAATACACGTGACATCCAATCAGTGCAAACCTGTTGTCAACCTGCTAAAAATATTTGTTTTTTTTTTTAAAAACACCTACAAAAAATATTAATTGCTCTTTTTTTTTTTTTTGGGTTCATGATGAATTTAGAAGTTATTTGAGTTCAATGACTTAATTGATATCCCTAAATAGTTTAATAACCTATTTGTACCTTTTCCCAAATAAAAATAACGGGAGCCAAAATAGTATTTTTATCTCTATTATATTACTATATATAGAAATGGGCGGTTGCTAAGGTGCGATGTTTTTCTTCTTAAGGTGCGTGGTTTGTGTGCTTAAGGTGCGTCAGTGTTGAAACTTAAGGTGCGTCAACCTAAAGTTTAAGGTGCATGGTTTTTCTTCTTGATGTGTGTTATTTTCCTTTTTAAGGTGCGTAATTTGTATGCTTAACGTGCGTCAATTGTGTGAAACTTAAGGTGAGCCATTTTAAAACCTTAGGTGCGTGATTTTTGTTCTTAAGATGTTTTGTTTGTGTCTTTAAAATGCGTGATTTGTGTACTTAAGGTGCTTTGTTTGTGTTCTTAAGGTGCATGGTTTGTGTACTTAAGGTGCTTTGTTTGTGTTCTTAATGTGCATGGTTTGTGTACTTAAGGTGCGTCATTTTAATGCTTAAAATGCGACAACCGCACGAGAAGTCATCCCCGCACCTGAACCTTCCCTATTAATATATATACATATATGATTTATATTTATTAAAAACATAGGTGGTAGGGGCCAAGACCCCATATCTCACCATGTAGCTCCACCACTGAACAACTCTAAGTAAGCTAGTTAGACGGTTAACTTGATAATTACAAAGTTAGAAATTTGATTCTTAGTAAACGCGATTGCTGATTAATTATGGACACAATTGACCACGATCATAAAGCCATAAAACAAAATTAGAAGTTTGATTGTTACTAAAGGCGATTGCTGATTAATTATAGGCGATGTTTATCGAACGTGAAACTACTGGCAATTCTCCCAGCTATGGCAGGTGTCCGTGACACCGTGAGTCTGTGACGCAACCTTAAGGCTATTTCTGTCATTTCATTCGTAGAAATTCAAGAAAATTCGAAGTCTTCGTGGCTTCGCCATCAGTAGATACACAGTACAAAAAGACGAGGCAATCTGGGAACCTCCTCCACAGTCCACATACACACAAACAGAGCTCTCAAGAATGGCGAATCCCAAAAGGGTCCTCTTGTTATGCGGTGATTATGTCGAGGATTACGAGGTTGCGAATCCGATAAAGCGAATTGCTTGTACTAATTGATTTTTTATTAATTTTTAAAAATTTTCATGGGAATGAAATGATTGATTGCAGGTTATGGTTCCGTTCCAAGCACTCCTAGCTTTCGGAGTGGCCGTTGACGCCGTTTGCCCCGGCAAGAAAGCCGGCGATATTTGTCGCACTGCTATTCATCAGCTTGCTGGTCACCATGTATGTATATACTATATTATTTCGATTAATTTCATTAAAAACAAACAAACAAACAAAGAACATAAAACCTATGTGGTATATATGAGTATTTACATTGTCATCTCAGTTTGTGCATTTTACTTGGTATAGTGTGTGTGTTAGGTAGAAATTGAATTACAGCATAGAATACCTATCCACTATATTGTTGAACTATAGAAATTAAGCTAGAAATTATGAGTATTAAACAGGTTTTAAGTATTCTTCTTAATTCTTTAGTTACTTGAAAATAGTTTTGCATAAACAGGTTGCCAAGAAGGAATATTTTCCTTGTTTTATTCACCTGGGTGATAATCTTGCACATAAATGAGATGTAATCCATGGAATTTTGAGATTCTTAAGTGGTCTTGTAGTTGGTAGTTATTCTATTTCCATATCTGAAAGGGAGTGAAGAAACAGATAAGTTTAGGATTTAGTTGCAGATTTTATGGATGTTACTAAGCATGCCTTAATTTTAATGATATAGACGTATTCTGAGTCCCGGGGTCACAACTTCTCTCTCAATGCAACTTTTGATGAAGTTGAAGCGGGCAAATATGATGGATTGGTGATCCCGGGAGGACGTGCCCCGGAATATCTGGCTAATGACAAATCTGTCCTGGAGTTGGTTAAGAAGTTTGTGAGCTGTAAAAAGCCAATTGCTTCTATTTGCCATGGACAGTTGATCTTGGCTGCAGCAGATGTAGTCAACGGCCGAAAGTGTACTGCTTTTCCTCCGGTGAAACCTGTACTTATAGATGCCGGTGCACATTGGGTAGAGCCGGAGACATTGGCCTCGTGTGTTGTTGATGGGAATTTAATTACGGGGGCAACTTATGAAGGGCATCCGGAGTTCATCCGCCTTTTTGTCAAGGCACTCGGGGGCAACATAACTGGCTCTGGCAAAAGAATTCTGTTTCTCTGTGGGGTAAGCTGATGGTGAATCGGATCATAAGGTCCTTGTAGATTTGTGGATGTGGGTTGAACTTAAAGACTTTCTGATTTCATTTGTTTTAGGATTTTATGGAAGATTATGAGGTGGCGGTTCCTTTCCAGACCCTCCAAGCACTTGAGTGTCGAGTCGAATCTGTTTGTCCTAAGAAAAAAGCAGGCGAAAAATGCCCAACGGCTGTTCATGACTTTGAAGGCGACCAAACATATAGCGAGAAGCCCGGTCATGACTTCGTCCTAAATTCTAGTTTCGAAGATGTTAGCAGCGCTTCGAGCTATGATGGGCTTGTTATTCCTGGTGGCAGAGCCCCAGAATATCTGGCACTGGACAACGATGTTATCAAATTGGTGAAGGAGTTCATGGAATCTAAGAAACCCGTTGCATCAATCTGCCATGGCCAACAGATTCTGGCTGCTGCAGGCGTTCTCAAGGTAATGCCATTTTCTACACGATTTATAGTGCCTTCCACTTTTACATATAAAGATGGACCGTTATATTCAACTGCGCGGGATTTGTAATGCAGGGTAAGAAGTGCACTGCATACCCCGCGGTGAAACTCAACGTGGTTCTTGGAGGGGCGACATGGTTAGAGCCAGAGCCGATAGATCGTTGCTTCACTGATGGAAATCTGGTGACAGGCGCGGCTTGGCCAGGCCATCCCGAGTTCATTTCTCAGTTCATGGCACTGCTTGGAGTGCGTGTAGCGTTCTAAGTTTGCGGTATGCGTTCTATGATGTCTCATATCTCCTTACCTTTACATGAACCCAATTAAAAGAAGGGCTAGTGTGAAACTTTCAATGACGCCTGTCTCTATCTGTAACAAAAGAATAAAACTTTTTATTTCGGTTTTGGTGTTACTTTGTGTTCGCTCTTGTTCTTGGCTCAGTGTATACACTTTCTTGTTTTATGTTTCTTTGATGGAAGTGTTTCCACTGTTCTTCTGCGATCAAATGGATAGCTTGGTATGATGTATTTGACAAATGGGTGCATACAAGATACTCCGTCATCATCAACTTTTATTTTAAGATATAAATTCCTGCACACTTATTGGGGAAAAAGCATTGATTTGGTTCGGTTAAGATGGTTCAGTTAACCAAATGCACACCCCTAATTTAAAGGTTATTTTGGATCAAGCCATCAAGGTAAACCTTAGTACATTATATAATTTATCATTCATCCCACCCTTGCCCCAAAATAAAGTGAAAGCTTTGATTTTTTTATATTTGTCAAAATAGCGGGCTTTGGTGGGACGGGTTATGTGGACCAATCTTCCTATATA